ATTCATGAATCCTTTCAATCAAGAAATTAGTAAATGGGTGAAGACTGGAATCGACTTCTATACACGCCGTGCATATCCCATGACTGAAAATCTGGGAACAACCAGGCCCACCGGGGACTTTTCTGTGCCATCTGGAATTCCAAACTTGTGGGTCTAGACCATCTGGCTGTCGTATCCAGGCTTTCCTTGATCCCTTGCCGGAGCTGGATGGAATTCGCGGTGCTGTGTCGTCTGGCCTGGATGGTAAATTATACTAGGTTGAACTTCAAAAAGAATTTCGAGCAAGAAGCTGTTTGATTGCTGTTGACAAGAAGACAATCACAACAAGCACTCACCATCTTTGTATTGCATTATCTTCCCCAGAAGAATGCATGGCTGCAACGCCACCTCCACCGCCCCCTCGAGCCGCACTTCCCCCTCCAGTTCCTCCCATCTTCACAGGAGGCACGAAGTTACCTCGAACCCCTCTCCTGACTCCCAGTGTTCTTGCCATGCCTCCACCTGTGTTCAGCAAACTTCCATTGCCCACCGATCTTCCTCCGCCTGTATCTGCCAGACTTGGTTGCGTTCTTTGCACCGGCACTGCCTCGCCCATCTTAGATGCTCGAGTTCTCTGTGATCAGCAGAATTACATGGCACACATCAACCCACATAGCGGGCTTACCATCATAGATGAACAGTCATATAAACAAGCTGCACCCCCATTTCCTAGGGGCCAGAGCCCGCAGGACTGTGCATCTTCTACGGTAGCAACTTTAGAAGGTTGTGTCACTTGTGTGAGATTTTACAAGTCACCAAAAGGCATAAATCGATGGCATTCCTAGCCTAGCAGCTTAGCACACTTGTCCAGTGATGCCTCACTCAAATATCCTAAAGAAGAGGCAAGGAGGGAGGAGGGGGTAGGAGAGAGCATACAATGTTGGCAAACAATACATTGAAGGATACACCGAGTCCCTCGAGAGGCTTTTGAAACGTTTTTCACCTTTAGCAGTAGCGAATGCAGATCCCAGGGCTCGATCCCTAGTTCTCCCCTTACCTGTGTACAGTATCTGTGTCGACCCCGAGTGTTGAACCCGTGACCTGTGTTTTGACAGTTGTTGTTCTCTGTCGTAGGTCTGTGTAGTGGTAGGGGTTTGATCTGTAGGTCTGTCGAGTAGGAGTCACAGCCCTGTAGAGGTCGTAGCTGCAGGGATCCTGAAAGGTCAAGGTCGTAGCTGCTACACTCCTGAGAGGTCAAGGTCGTAGCTGCTACAGTACCCGAAAGGCCAAGTCTACAGACTTCCGGAAGGTCCCGGAAGTGGCCTTTCGAAATGGGCTCACGTTTAGGCTGAGGCAAGTGGGCAAGTGGTGGAGCCAACCTCAGTACGTTGGCAGTGCGACTGCAGTGAGTCTGCGGTGCAAACCCATGCAGTCAGCGGTACCGGTCCAGTCAGTCCCAGTCCAGTCCAGCAAGTACCATGAGGGACTGTGTGCACCATGGGCCGATGGAAAAGGGCAGACCAGCGAGTTACAGAAGTATAAATCAAGGGGCAGCGCCCAGCCATTCATTCATTCCTGCGTAAGCAATGCGGAAGCGCTGCCATAGCGACTTGTGCGAGGTGGTCTGCAGTGAGCCCGAGGACGAAGTGGGCGAGAAGGAAGTTAGCCATAGCGATAGAGTAGCAGCGGCCATAGCCGCCATACCTGTAGGTGTGTGTGGGTGTGTGCGAGTGTACAGGGTGTTGTGTGTGGGATATCCAGGGTGATCCTGTGTGCAAACAGCAGTGTTGAGTAAGTGACGAACAGAGAGTTGTACAGGCGATGTGACGCCATAGCCGTTTGAAGTGAATTTGCATCTGAGGTGCGTTTTTGGTGCTATATCTCTGAGTTCTGAGTGGGCGCTTGACGCCAGTTTGCTGCGCAACCTGTTTGCATGCATGTGAAGTGTGAATGAAAGCGAGTCTGATTGCACTTTACCGATAGAATGCGATAATACCTATGACAAACAGGAGAAGTTTTGAGAGAACAACTTAAAGAACACAAATCCCTCCCTCCCTCCCTCCCTCTTCTCTCTCTCTCTCTCTCTCTCTCTCTCTCTCTCTCTCTCTCTCTCTCTCTCTCTCTCTCTCTCTCTCTGTGCAATGACTTGCTGATTTCGACTGCCGAGACTGATTTGCGAGGTTGTACAGTGTGCTGTGTGCTTGTACAGTGTGCTGTGTATTTTGCTGTGTTTTTTCGGCCTGCACTGAGGGCCTCCCGCTATTCTAAAAATAGCTGGGACCAACAGCAGTAGGGGCTCAGTGGTTAGCGGCCCTAAGTGGCCCTGAGCCCTAAGTGCAGCAGTAGGACCGGTTTCGTAGAGGCCGAGTAGGCCCTAACTGAATCGGTACCGGTAGGCCGAGCCAAGGACGTTTGCAGCGGCGATTGTCTACAGGCCGTACCCTGAGACCCTCACCGTGGACAGCAGCCATAGCCAGTCGGTGGAGGACTTGCCATAGCTGGGGCATCTTCCGCGCATCAACCCCTGTGGGTTTCTGCGAGCGGCTGGGCTGTGTGGAGACTCCTCACTGAGTCTATGTGGGTGGCCGCAGCCATAGCTGCCGGTTCTTCGTCAGAGTTGTTCAGCGGCACTGAAGACTTCATCGAAGGATCTGTTCTTCATCTGGGTGGTTGGCGCTGGCCTCTGGGAGGCTGTTCTGATGTGGCGCTACTAACTGGGTGTAGGGTAGTGAGCGGAGTGTGAGGTTCTGAGAGTGGCGAGACACTGGAACAAACTCTGTAACGATTTTGGTTACTTGGCTCATCATCAGTGTGTTTTCCAATTGTTATCCTCGCAGGTTCTTACTTGTGATTGGTTGTTGGGAGTATCGTCAGAGAGTGAGAAACACTGTGTGTCCTCTCCCCATCTGTGCATGGCTGTGCTTCCGCTATCTACTCTGATCTGTTCTGATCTGTGTACAGTTTGGACTCTGTCTCCTCTCCCCCTTCTCTTATGCATGTATGGGCATGTATGAGATTGTCTGTGTGTGAGTGGAGGTAAAAATCGTCAGACAACCAAGTTCATAACATCTCTCTCTCTCTCTCTCTCTCTCTCTCTCTCTCTCTCTCTCTCTCTCTATCTATAGCCAAGTGGTAAGGCAACGGGTTTTGGCCCTGTCATTCGGAGGTTCGAGTCCTTCTACCCCAGTCTTTGCATTTTTGATTCAAAAAAATCTATAGGATAATATAAGTATGATTCAAGCTTATTCGTTGAATATTACTAAGTACTTATTTATTACTAATTTATTTCGATAATTCCAAATATCGAATGCTATATTCATTTGTTTTTCTTTAATTATTCATTTCTTTATCTTTTTTGATTTGTCTATTATATATATATATCGTCAAATAGAACTGCCCGGTAAACCGTAGGCAGAGAGGATATATATATATATATATATCGTCAAATAGATATATATATTGTCACATCACTACAAACTAAAAGAGCGCACTTTGCGGAAC